AGACTTTCAGTGAGATGAATAATAAAATGAGGAGAAATACAGAGGAATAGAATGCACTTTCATCACTGAACCAAGGCCGCTTTAAGTATCAACCAACAAGAATGAATGCGAACCAAACGACCCTTCTTAGATTTTATATTTTTTACGATGGCATAAGAAAACGTAATTGCATTCCGATTTTAAAGGTAATAACTATTTGTAATATATAACCACTAATTATTTCTAAAGGAGAAAAAAATCAACTTCACAAAACAATGCAATTACGTCAAGCATCGATACAGGTGCCTATGAGCTTAGTAGAGCGAAACGAATAACTTTTCGGAACATAGCTACAAAATCATACCTGTTCGTAATTTAAATGTATTGTATCCACAGCTGCCATAAAATTGTATCGGCTTGACGTAACAACGAATGCTTCCATGATAAAGACGGCGATGTCAAAGAACAAACAAATATTTACATTTTTTGGTAAGGATCTCTTGGACAATTGGAAGAAATAATATTGCATTAATAAGAGTAGAGCTAATACCAAACTATGAGAACATGAGAAATTATTTTAGAAGCTGGATTAAGAGCAACTCGGATGAAAAAATAAGCCGAATTCCATAATTTACGAACAGGAAAATAACAAGGTACATATTGATGAATTCTTACAGAAGAATTACACAAGAAGAAAACCACAAAGTGGTCTAACGTACGCAGTCAAGTATTTACCCCCGGATAAGGCAAAAGTGTGGGCGAATAACGTCACTACGCCAAGATTGCTACTGACGATTCTTTCAAAATATAATTGCTTCAAGGAACTTGCGAGTTTTTCATACGTCAGCGAAGGATAGTGCACCAATAAGAATTCTTGAAAGTGGATACGCTGAATGAACTTGACTGAAGGATTATGGATGTGAATATAAAAAAAAAACCGCATCGATATGAGTCACATCCATATTTTCCGAATATATACAATTAGTACATATGTGAAACGTTTATGGAACTTTTTTTTAAAGTTTCGAAGGAACACATTCGAAATAAAAGAACTATAGAAGTTCCGAGTAACTTTTTTGCAATAAAGTTCTAGATTTATCATAGAACTTTTATTTAATTGAATTCTTAAAAAATATATCTTCAAATATTAAGGAACTATCACCTAATATTAAGGGGAGAAATTGTAGGAATAGTAAATAACAGTTCCTTTATTTGAGTAGTTAAAAATGTCGTTTAGTTACTTCTTGGCAAAATGCACTACTCGAAAGGGACTGTTAATTCCGTTTCAAGCCGCCCTTTATCTCGAAATACATGTGCTGGATATTTTTTATCTTTGAAAAAGGATTTAAATTTCGAACACTAATATAGTATCGATATTTCGTAAAGAGAAATCTATATTAGCCATATAATTACGACGTCACGGTTGTAGAGGTCTCAAGGAAAAACATATATTATAACAGAGAATAAATAACAAATTAATGATTCGATTCATTAAAAACTGGCTAGAGAATGGAATGTACAGCTCGCTCAGTGCTAAACGAGCTATTAACCGAGCACGCTCTGATAAACGTTCATAATGGCTGAAAAAGTATCATTAAGCAATACTTTAGTACCTCCATAAGACACGGTGTACTAGACAAGATGAAAAATCATTAAATTAACATTTACTATCCGTATTAATTTCTTCCAAACTTGACTTATCTCGCTAGCGAAAAACTGAAAAAATAACAAACAAATTCAACAGATTATGAGATGAAGAGAATATGAAATGACAATTTGAACTAGCATCACCATACTCTAACAAGGACAACTACTATTGCATGCATAAGTTGTGAAGTGTTTAACGTAAACGGCGCACAGAGGTTCAAACGCAGGAAACTCCCCGATTTAAAGAATCAGGTTATATTCGCTTATTGGAAGATTTCTTCGAGATAATTAGTCAATGAATCTGATAGTAATCTAATTTTTTATGTTAAAAATGCCTTTAAGCGTTTAAAAATGATTAATCGAAAACCCTACAACTGAACGAAACAAGCAAAGAAATGTTAACATTACTGAAACCTAATTATTATTTTCAAAATGTATATAATTTATAGTTTTATACTTCGTCTTCTAGAAATATCACACATCTTGATAAAAACAAATTGTAAAAAGAATCCATCGTTTCACTGATGGGATGATTGTTAAAGCTTACAATAAAGCTTATATTTCCTACGGTTCCAAGACTGAATTTTTTTTTTTTTTTTTTGTATAGAGGGTACTATCAAGTACCTGCCCTAAAGATTTCTCTTCGAAAGAATAGAAAGTGGAAAAGTATGAATCACCTGGTCTTTTCGTGTATTAAGATGAGAAGTTAAGCGTTCAGATGCGGGTTTCACGAATATTAGTAAGATTTTGCTAGAACTGTGAGTTTATCTCCGATAGCCATGATGTCGTTATCCGAAAAAATTACGAATTTATTTATCCCATAATATAAAACACGGCTTTTATATGATAAATTATTGTTTTTTTAAATTACGATCGAGCATTCGCGAGCTCATGTTGAAACTTCTTCTTTAATTATTGATGGTATGACCGAAAAATTCGATCCTAATTTCCTATCAGATCAAATTACCTAAAGCCGGTCTGTTTAAATCTAAATATTTACAAATTAAAAATGTTTCAAATAATTTCGAACTGTAAACTGTTTCAGGATCCTAAGATATAGATAGATAAAATTGTATGATATAGAAAAACGCCCGAACCCTAAAATAAAGTGCCTACTTCAAGATTGGCTCAACCAAATCACCAATAGATTTATAAAACAATGAACAAAAGGTCATTAATCGAATCTGAAAGACCCCGATCTGACGAAATGAGAAGGGATTTGAAAAATAAAATAAAATAGAATTGTACTTTGTACATCGATCGTAGTAACGTAGTAAAGATTGCTTAATTTGTTTTTTATTGTTTTTACTTTATGAGCTCAAAATTTTATTTTATATCTTCAAATTTTTACGTACTATGATAGCTAGATTGTGGTGATATCAGTTTCTTTAGGTCAGACATTTTTAAAAACCAATAAAATTATTTGAAATTCGATGTTTCCAAAAAAATTTACTTTATTTAAGATATCGATTCCCAACTCCCTCCCGATTTTCGATGTTACTACTTCACACTGCGCAACAGTTGCATAAGATATTCTCTTTAGCCAGGATAGGAAGAGGAAGACAAAGACTGGGAAGAGGTCTTGCGTTGCGTCAAACATCACGTAGTAGGAACGGTGACGTCAATTTCTACTTCACTATAAGTTTTTAACTAGTGGTGACACTGGAATAATATGATAACACTACTATGGTAATACTTAAATTTCTTTTCAAAAAACAGCTACTTTTGAAAGGAGGAACCAACAATCCTAGATCCAGGTTATTGTACAGTTACATTAAATTATATTTTTTCCCTTCACTGCAATATTCTATTAAAAATTTTGATCCAATAAAATTGTTAAATTTTTTTCTATTTAAAGAACATAATCATTAAATTATGTTACCGCATTCATTAAATTGGTTAATTATATATATTATGCAAACAAGCAAGCAAATTTCAACAAAATTTAATGAATGCTGTATTACAAGGTCCTGAATAATTAAATAATGTTCAAAAGCAAAAATAATAAAGAGGAGTACAATAACAACAGCAAACATCAGTACAGTGCCAAAAGCAAATTTTAGTTCACTTTTATTAATATAAATTTCATTATCTTACTACATAACTTTTCTCTTTTAATTTAACAGTGATGCAGGTAAAAATCAAAGCAAGAAATAAATTTTTAACAAGGAAAATGTAATTTAAAATAATCTATGGCATTTCAAAACGATTTTCTGAGTACTATCATAGCAGAGGCAGAATTGGAAATTCCAAAAAAATTAAGAATCTGAATTAAGTATAAAAAGCATTATCAAAATTAAAGCATTATTGTAACTTATATGTTATCAGAAATTGAAAAATAAAAAATAAATAGTGTTTTAAAATATTGAAAAATAACTAAATAAATAGTGTTTTAAAATATTGAAAAATAACTAAACAAATAATTAGCAAGCTTTATCAATAGATAAAATATATATATAGTAATCAAAATAATAAAATTAATCATAAACTATTGTAAATAATATCACTTTTATCATCAATTTTTTATAGTTACAAGAAATTAAACAACCATAAACAATAAAATTAAAGAGCAAGTGCCCCGAATTGGAAAAGCTCATGGTTGCAATATTATATATGTATTTTCAGTATGTCTCATATCTATTAAAAATACTAGAAAAAGTAAGGAAATTAAAGCAGTAATTGATAAATGGCTATTTTCCTACATGCAACATTTTTAAAATGAGAAAATAAGAAATTCATAAAATATTATTGTAAGAAATAATATCTTCAGGTAATATTCAGACTCTTTAATCTGTTATCTTATCTATTGTCAAGACAATTAACTACATAGTATTTTAAACAAAAATTTTTATGTAAATACATAATCTTATCAGTTGACACTAAGTGATTCAAAATTATGACCATGATGATTTAAAAGGTTTATAATAGTGTATTTGTTGTAATATATTACAGTTTTTATTCAAATTAATAAAATTAATTAGCTAGTATCAATATTCTTGGATTCTTCAAAAAGTTTACTTAACAAACAATGAAGTAATAATAAACAAAGAGATTGAGGAAAATTTAACAACAGTCAAACTTATTAGTAGTTTCATGATGCACTGGAGCTTTACTACAAATAAACGCTTAGTTTTGGAAAAAACAGAAACCACTGATAATAAATTAATCCAATAGCATTACACACAATTGGCAATAGTAAAATAGATATCATTAAATTTAAGAAAGCAAACACAATTAATAAATTAATCAATTTATGAATTGCATTATATATAATCAACAGTGGTTAAGCTGATGTCAATTTAAACATCCTTTTATAACAAACAAATTCTTCTATATACCTATCTAAATAAAAAATAACAGAATCTTGTTCTTACCATTGGGTCCATATTTCTCTTGATTCCGCTTCACCTGATCAATTGTGAGACCCTTTTCCCTGTCGACGTTGAAATAACTCAAAACTTCATCCACTGTTTTACAGTGGGCGTCCTCCATGATTTTTCTTGTTTTATTACCGAATCATTAACTATTTACAACCTGAAACAAAGACAGAACTTTATCAGACATGGAAAAGGTCGGAAAATTATTTATTTAGTACATTCAAAGTTTAAAAAAATAAATAAATAAAACAGTATTGAAAGAACTAATTAAGAATGTATAGCAAATATTCATGAACTGTTCTGTGATTAACCTACTAACAATTCAGCATAATTTATACTAATCACTAACCCAAAAAGAGAAATAAATGTGATTATAATTAAACAAAAAAAATTAAAACATGAAATACTGTTAAAAACAATCACCGGCAACTTAATACAACATTATGTTTCAGATTTATTTATGCTAACATACTAATTATATCAAAGAAGGCATGGAATGGTAAGGTTATATTTACAAACTAAAATATGCAATTAATCATTTCTAAATCCTCAATTCGATTCATTTGTAGTATTTTTCAAAAATTACATACCTTACAAGTAATCCTCGGAAGTAACGGACGTAAAATTTCATAAAATTGAGCCACTCCGTTTTAATACTAATATCACAAATCTTACCAAAAATGAGATAAAATGAAAACGAAAAATACTATCTACTATATTTTATGAGTATACTAGTTACACGAATCGTATAAAAAATAAAATTGTCATTCATTAGGAAGGCTTAGTTACATAGAAGACAAAAATCGTATGATGACAAATTCAACTTTATTCTGAGCACTGCTAGCTTGATATCAGTGGGCACCTGGTCACATGGCATTTACGTAACTTCTGATTAGAGAGATACTCTCTCCTTGATAATAAGTAGTCGAATAAATATAGTATTAACAAGACAATAACTACGAACGATTTGATAAGTATTGAGGAAGGAAGGAGAAGTAAATTCAAACAAAATGATTATCACTAAAGAGGAGAGACTGAAGTATGTAACGGGCATGTGGAGAGTGCTGATTGGTCGGCAACTTGTTGATCTCTAGACCGCGCAATTCGAAAATATTGCAGGATTGTAAACGTAATTGATAATGTTTTAACTCAAACAATTCATACATAAAGTGATATGTTTTGTTAAATTTCAATCTCTTTATGGTCATTTACTTATGATCAGAATAAATATTTTAATTATTCACCTTTAGTATAAAATTAATTGAACTATTTGTCAAATACAAAGATAATGATTGGAAACTGCAATACTATAATATGAAACAAACAGGACATACGTCGGTCACGAAAATAAATATGAAATTTATACATTAAGTAATTTATACCATTAATTCAACATACGTTTATAGAAATTTATCCGTTTATAAAAAGGAAGAGATACTAACTGAAATTGGTAGACATGGTGTGTTGATACTAGCGCTACCTATTGTTAGTAAAGATAACGAATTGAAGATGATTTAAGGTAAGAATGTTTTGTCATAAAACAAAAAACTAGAATTATTTATGTTAATATTAACCATTCTAATATTAATTTTTCATTCAGGATTTAATAAATATTTAAAATTAATAACTGATCACAATTTTAATTTTAAAAATGTATTTATTTTAAATTGTATATGTATATATAATGAAATATTTTGTCTCTTATTCATGTGAAATTCCATTTTTTTAAATAATTTTGTGATAAATAAAAACAAGTTTGATGTCTAGATCTACACTTACTATAGACGCAATACTCAGTCACAAATAAACAAACCTTTAAGTCTTTGACATTTGAACTGGATTGGACTAGGTCCACATTATCGAATCCAAGACTATCTTTGAACCCACATTCAAGAAGGTTGTTCTGGCTATTGAATCAAAGTTGAGATCATGATATTTTTCTTTTAATAGAACCAATAGACAGTACTTCAAGTTTATTGTAATGAAGGAGATTTTTTCATTATTAATATAAAATTCTCTATATTGTTTCATTGATTATTTTCACTTTTGCTTTTCAAATAACCTGCAGCAACAGAAGCCTGCATTCCACAAGGTTGATGGCCTTATTTTATTTATTTTATTCAATTAAGTGGTAGCATTTCCTTAAATGTTATTTTAAAATTTTAAAATATGACCGTAAGATAATTAACTGAATATTAAATTTATAAGTAGCAAAATATGAACATAAATTTCAATAATTTATAATTAATTTTTTAAATCATTAATTAAACAGTTTAGATCTGGAAATGTTTTGAAACCTAAATTCTTTCAAATCAGTTATTGCAGTTGATCGAAGATAGTTAAATATGGACTGGTCTATAAAACAATCGTTTAATAAACTTGAAAATATCAATGAAATGAACTGTGCATCATGCATAGGTATAATTATATATATGCATTGGATATAATCTATGCAATTATATAAAAAGTGATTGCAACAGATGCAAAAAAAATAAAATAAAATAATTACAATCATATATGTTATTATATTATTGATAGTTCTACAGAAGAATATCAAATTATTTCAAGCTTAATGTTATTTAAATTTTTTAAAATGTTCAAAATACAATATTAAATAGAACAATATTTTTTTTCTCTATTATATGTATACAGAATAGCTATAATAGTTGTATATATGCAATAATACTCTAATTATCTCTTGCAACATGCCGGAGTCAGATAATTCAGAGAATCCTAAAAAATATTGGAACAATGCTTGTCAGGAGATTAATAATAATGGTATATAAATTATGTTGACATCCATATATATATATACATACATACACAACTCTACCCGCTTAGGATGCTCATTATCCATAAGGATGATGGCTCATACTCCCTCCCAAGAAAATTTACTGCACTCCTTTTCACCCCGGTGGAAATTCTAGTAAAATTATAAAAAAATTATGGATAAAACAAAAATTTAGCCATCTCTGTATAAAAAAAAATTACCCATCTCTATAAAATTTGCAATTTACTTTTTTCGTTGTTTTTGCTTGGTTTTAATGTTCTACACAACTATAACCTAACAAAACTCTGGATCCCTTCAAAAATTCATAACTTCCTAAAAATTGTATACCTTTACAAATTTATATGGGGAGATACCACAACCTTCTGGGCACACCTGCTACAGGCTAACAATTGTTTTAACATCAACATGTATTAAGCTTTCAATTTCATTTAAAAAAAAAAAAATACTTATTTACCTAAATATCAGAAGGGTAGACAGGTTATTTGATTGTTTAAAAATTGGTTGTAGATTTTCTATGTGGATAAAAAAAAATATGAATATCAAGGAACAAATTTTTTCATAATGAAAAATAAAATGAAATTGATATCCACAGAACGATATTAGCGATTTGTGAAATTCTAAAAAAAGCTGAAATCATAACAGCATACAAAAACGGAAGGGAAACACGAGGCAGACAAGAGGATCTGTGCTATATATTTAGATGGCTGAAGGCAAGATTGTGGTATTTAAGGAGTTTAGTTTAGGCGGAAAAAGAAACACTTAAACAAACCCTATTTCAATCAAATCACTGGAATACTGTTCTCTTCGGAGGCTGTTGTAGATGGAGCCAGCGTGCCAAATCAGTCGGTCAGAGATGTAGTTTCGAACTAGGTGCTAAATGGGACTGTAAAGCAAATTTTACACTTTAAAAAATGGTTTTTACTTTAATATTTCACTCGGTTTTCACCTAATTCTTGACTAATACGTCTTAACTTGGTAGTTTGTGTACTGAAAATTATATGTTAGATTCAAAATAACTCCCTTTTAGCTCAATTAAACACACGTAAGTATAAAATGAGTGTTTAGAAACGGAAGGATAGAGAATGAAATAGATCTAGATCAGATAGGTTGGATTTGAGGGAGCGGCCATTCATGTGGGCGGCAACAAAACAAAATAATTCATGGGGCTAACAAAAGCAGTTGAAAAATAAAAAAAGAGGATATTGTTTAATCCGCCCCTCTCTAAGAGGCGATGGCGATGGTTCATAAATCTCCTTTTCCCTCTCCCTCTCCCTCTCCCCATCCAATAGATTATATTGGCGTCTTCTTAAAAACTGTGCAAGTAAAAGTAAAATTACAAAAATTGTATGGCATGATTCTCTACAAAAACGCACAACAAAATAAAAATGAATCCCCCTCAAAAATGTTGATAGGAATATAAACTTTCTTACTACCTATATATATGAGCCTTTCATTTAACATAATGACTAACTCCAACTTCACATTTTTTGTTATTAATTTTAGTGATATTTCTATTGGGAAAAATATTCACAGTTCTATATTTCAACACTGCAATAACCCGAGTAAGTCATTCTGTCAACTGAAAGGCTTATATATGTCTTGGCGAGATTATTATTTTTTCACTTGTTTCAGATGCTAATAAAAATTTTATTTTCGAACTAGGATCGTTTTAAAATGTGTATTTATTTTATTAAATAATACATCGTTATGTCTCAATAGGTATAATGAGGAATTTAATCATAAATAAATTAAAAAGCGCGTCTATATTGTACTGTGAATTGTGGGATTTCTACCTAGAAACCGTTGATACCTCCCTCCCCTAACCAACCCCTTCGGAAGATCGACGCGAGGGGACAGCGGTGGTTGCAACCCTCATAGACTCCCAAGGGGGTTAAGTTTAGTTTTTAATTCCTAAATTTACATTAGAATATATTATATATAACAATTCACATATTATATAATAATTATAAAGTATCATCATGTAACATTTTTATTGCATATATTAGTGAATTTAAGTGGTAAATTTAATATTTTAAGAAAGTCCTGAGAAATTATTCCTATGGTAACCGGTCCCTTTCCATGGTCCTGATGTTTCGTTATGTTGGATTGCAACTACTCCGTTTCTAAAGTTTATTTAATAATATGAATGCGTTTATTATTAAATAGTCAGATATCTTATTATACTGCAAACCATTTAGAAATTTATATGTTTCCGTATGACAATTCGGAAAATATATAATTAAATTTAAAAAATTTTCTTATCTCAAATACCCTTTTCCTGACATAGACTCAATTCTGTTGGCAAAGACTTTATGAATTATTATTTTGAATGTTTAATAGTGAATTTTATAAGACCTTATTATTATCATTGCTGAATAATTCAGTCATATCTATTAAAATGTGTTCAATATTCTAGACTAATATTGGATTAAAAGAAAAGACGATAATGTTGAAGCAATTTGGAGGGAGGTGGGGATCTCTCCTCTTTATCTCACTTTGCCACGACGAGCTTTTGTTGCCTTAATTAGTCCCAGTCATGAAGTAGCGGTTTGTTTGAAAACTTGTTTCCTTTCATTTGCAGCCTTTTGACTTGACCAAATTTATTACATCAGGAGCCATTGTTTGAATTTTTTAAGATACAGCTATCAAGTATTGTTGATTAGAGCTCGAGTTTGTGGTAATTCTATAGCAAATTTTATTCAAGCCAGATAAATCTTCCTTATACTAGATCTTTCTGATTAGATCGTTTGAGGAATAGAACGTGGTGACACCTTTTCTCTCTAAACAAGGCCATTTTTTTTTTTTTTTTTTATAAATAAATTATATAAGAGTTTAATGTTAGTAGACAGTTCACTCCCTCATGAACAACATTTTTCTGCTGACCACATCTCAACTCAATTCAGTTTAAATCGTTATGTATTACTTCGATAATTAACAGTTAAACAATAATGAATTCGAAAAGTCTGGACTCTGAAGAATTTTTATCAAATTCGTTATTTTAAAAGTTGGGTGATGGAAATTTCTTAAAATTATATTTTTCGAATTTTATAGCTGTATTAAGCATACGAATATAGATAAATTTGAACAGAAGATGAACAATGATAATTTTTTTGCAGAAATTAACCATTGGTAGAACTCCAATAAAATTTCCAAGTTAAACAATACCTAGACCTTCTTCTTTTCAAATGCTTAGATGGATTAAGGGAATCGACGAGGAAGTAACGTTGGAAACAAGTAGCTTTGGATGGGAATGGAATTTAATCACATCAAATCTGTGACATACGAATATTAAGTTAATCTCAAAATCGTTTTGAGGACAACCGTAATTGTTAACCGGACCCTCAGAGATAAGCTGACGTTAAGAATCTATATTCTGTAGCATCGAAATATGTATATGAATGACGATCAATGAAATCATATTATAATTAATACATTTAATTAGGAAACGAAATGAAGTAATTAAAGTTATTAATAAAATATTAATCTTTTCCATCTTTTTGAATTGAAGTTATATTGCTGTATTATTTAATTGATGCTAAGTTTTCGAAAATTTGACATACTTTTTTTTTCAGTATCACAGGGATGCTAATCCCTCCAAATTCCCAAGAAAATTGATTGCTCTCTTCTTCTTAAAAACGGTACAAATAAAAGTGAAACTATAAAAATTGCATTTTTTTTTTTTTTTTTTTGATCCTCATCCTCGTTTTTAAGGCTATACGGGCTTTTTC